AAGAGTTGGTTAAGTCAAAATGGTTGGCCTGAGTCATTAATTCAACTGAAAATGTTAAAAGTTCACACATAAAATCCACATAATACAACGTTTGCATTTAAAAATCACCTAAGTTAACAGTCCCAAAAGGTGAAGCCAATTGTGATTGGGATTTTAAAGATGGTTGCCTTTTGCTTGACACCATATGAGCTTTGGATTTTGATGAGGATCCATATTTTGGTAGAGGAAAAGATGATTTTGATGGCACTGGTGATCCACATGTCAACCTTGTATGACCACTTTCCTTGCACCGACTACATGTCGATCTCTTCTTCTCTTCACCCTTAGACGGTATACGATCGTGACTTTTTGGTCGGCCAGGTAGCCTTCTGTCCATGGCTGGTGGCAAAACTGTTTGTAAGTCATCTGGTATGTCCCACTCAGAAGGATGTGGAATAGGGTAGACAATCTCGGCATAAGTCTGTCGATAAACTTCTGTAGTGTAGCAATCCATAGCGTATGCGCTTGAATCATCTTGGTTTAAATGAAGAGCAACTTTTATAACATGGCCACACGGATAACCAGATGTTTGCCATTTCATACAACTACACGTCTTTGCATTTAGATCGACTAGCCCATTTAAGTTATTATCCAGTACTTGAAACAAAGTGTTTGAACATGGTTCAACTCTCCATGACGTTGACTTCACAACACGTTTCGTTATCTTTTTTTCAGTCCATGGTGTAACACGATGTTCCAATGTTCCTGTAAATTTAAATAAACAATACTTAGTAAAATATATAAATATGATAAGTTACGAATTCAAAGAAATAATACCTGCATGGTTTCTTTTCTTGTAGTACCACTGTTGAATAGAGGCTCGAAAAAACTCCATTAACATAGTAATGGGTAATTTCCGGGAATGACGACTTAGAGCGTTGATTGATTCTGCACTATTAGACGTCATGAAACCATATCTTGCTCCAAGTTGATGTACTCTTGACCATCTTTCAAACCCGACATCTTCTAGTGTTTGAGCACACTGAGGCAAAACACGTCTTAAACAATTTATATGCTTATTGAAATCCACTTCCCGATAAGCTTTTACAGCCTTCCAGTATGTCCATTTGTGCTTTTTTATACCAGCAGACCTTGATTTTAGATTTCTATACAAATGAACACCACAAAGTCCATGAAAAGCATCTGGGAAACACCTTCTAACAGCGTTGTCAATTGAGTTTGCCCTATCGGATATGATTGTCAGATTGCTAATAGGACCTATGCAATCCCTAAGATGCCCCATAAACCATGTCTATGAATCAGAGGTTTCAGATTTGCCAACCCCGTAAGCTATTGGCAATATCCCATTATTAGCATCCATGGCTACTGCTAATAAGTTTACTCCAAGGTATCGACCTTTCAAATGTGCTCCGTCAACTATAATAACTGGGCGCATGCAAGTAATAAACGAACGAATCTACAAAATAATATACACAAGAAATATAATCATTTAAATGTGAAATGCATGTAACTAACAAAATGAGTCAACAAAATTATATTGATTTACTAACCGTAGCACCAATGGCGATAAACAGCAACTCAAAGCGTCCATCTCTATCTGTTTTGATATGAGTTACCGACCCAGGATTTTTCAGCTTTAAATTGTGACAATAAGCCGGCAGTTGGGCAAACGATGCTTCTGGCGACCCCCTCAACAATTCCAAGGCATAACATTTGGCTCTCCAAGCTTGAGAATATGATATACTAATCTTGAACCGAGCATTCATGTCAGTCATAATTTCATGTCCCCGATATACCCTGCCATTCAAAAACATTAACTCAGCCAGAAAACCACCCAACACCTTTTTGTTTGCCTGTCTATGGTGAGGAAAAACTTGGGTTCTTGAACATGTATGTTTATCAATAAAAGTCCTAACTTGAAACATTTTGCAATCTTTTATTCTCTTTGCAATCATACGCCACGTACAGTTTTTGTCAATCATACACCTTGTTTCGAAACGATCTTTGCTTGATTTGTTAACTTTTAGTTGATAGCCATCTTCCACACATTTCGTATACAAAGCTATCTTCAAGTCTTCCTTTGTATCAAAACAATCATCTTTCTTGACACGAATAACTTTTGTGTAACAATCAACTGCTTTCTTTGCCAACTCTTCTTCCGGTAACTGAAGTAATTCTGGCATATTCCAGTTATACTCCCGTGGCATTTTCTTTTCTTCGGGGACTTTTTCTTCTTCTTTTTCTTCTTCAGGATTATATGAATTACAGAATGGATGTTCAACATGTTCATTCACAGTCGTAACTTCCTCCTCATTATCATCAACAACATCTTCCTCGGCAACGGGTGTTTCATCATCAAAATTCGGGTATTGACCAATATGAAAATCATTACACACATGGTTTGTTTCTTCTTCTGAAACATCATCAAAATCCGTGTATTGACCAATATCAAAGTCCGGATATTGACCAAGACCAAATTTCGAATACTGACTAGTACTCACAATTTTTTCTGTTGGCTCATCATCGTCTAACTGGTCAATACGAAAACCGGAATTTGGTGCTGAAAGTTGATTGGGATTTGGATTAGAGAAAGGTTGTGGGTTTTGAGAAAAACTTAGTTGATTACTACCCGCTACTGACCCAACAATACTACTTCTAGGTTCAACAACATACAATGTAACATCATCTTGTGAAACACTAATGTAAGCAATGAATCGTTCAACATCTTCATTGTCGGTTAACAAATAAACTTTACCATTTCTCTGATAAGATAGCCTAAATCCACTTAGGGGCTCTAAATTCAATTTATTTGAAACACGTAGCATTAGAGTTTCATAAGTTAACTTTTGTAAAGACAATTTTAGTTGAAGATTCATGGGTAAAGGCATATATTGTAAAACACCATGAACATTATCCCATGACCCTCCAAAACACAAATCTATCCAAACATGATCAACATTAGATGATTTCATGGTTGTAAATTAATTTACTAAACAGACGAGCTGCGAAACTAAAACCTGTTGCCGGATTGGGAAGGATGTCGTTGGATATAGGAACGGATGTCGCCGGAGAGAGTGATAGATGGAGATGGAATGAGTTGCGATTTAGGGATTTAGTTTATGATTTCAGTGTTATATACCCAAAATTTCAGTGTTGTGATTTACAGATTCTCGTTGCGATTTACGGATTATCGTTGCGATTTACAGATTCTCGTTGCGATTTACGGATTATCGTTGCGATTTACAGATTCTCGTTGCGATTTACGGATACGCGTTGCGATATACGGATACGCATTGCGATTTACCCATACGCGTTGCGATTTACGGATACGCGTTGCGATTTACGGATACGCGTTGCGATTTATGTGTTCGCGTTGCGATTTTCATATTCGCGTTGCGATTTTGGAAAATCGCAATGCGAATTTGTACTATCGCATTGCGATTTTCAAGAATCGCGTTGCGATTTTGGAAACTGATTTGCGATTCTGGGGATCGCGTTGCGATTTTTATTTCGCGTTGCGATTTTGTTGGTCATTTTGGCAAATCCAAAAAAAGTTGGTTAAAATCGTATATTATAATTTTTTTTTGGTCACTGAGGCGATTTTCTCTTTAAATAAAATGTATATATTTTTTAATATTTAAGTCTTTTTTCTCTATTTTATTTCAGCTCAATTTATTTTCATACGGTCACCACATAGATAAAAGATGTTTCTTGAAAAAAAAAACGTCTTTAAATTATATGACACAAATTATTAATCTATTAGTGGATCTAAAATACTCGACCATTAATATATATAGAACCATTACATCATAGGTAAAAAAGTAATTTTGGGACAATGGCCATGGGTCGACTCGTCAACAAATGCGCATGCATAATACCTGAGATGACAAATGATAAAACTAGACATGTTATGGGTTTAATCGTCGGTGTCGGAAATTAATTTCTATCTATATATATAAAAGTGACATTTATTGCAATATATTAATTAGTAGCTTGACTTGACATCACATGCATCATATTCATATTGGACCTCAGCCGGCACATGTAGGTATATTGGTCACTCTCAAGCTTAACGATATATGCATCCGATCCAGCAACACTTGCATGATTCGAAAAAATACATTTACAAAGGCTATTTGGTCATTGGAATTATAATTAAGATTGTTTATAGTGGAGAATAAAACGTGCACATGGATATGTTCCAAGCTCCCATGTCTAGTCATTTCCCCATCATTTTTAACAAAAATGTTGATCTTGGACTATTCTATTTTGATTCTTATTAAACTAAGTAGAAATTTATTTACATCTACAACTCATAGAACTTACAAACGTAATTGTTTTAATTTAGTATTTTAAAAAAAAATATAGTTGTTTTAATCTGAGAATACTTAACAACTTTAATCAATCATAACAACTTCAAATCGTGTTTAAACACGCTTAAATATACTGGATTCTAAAAAGGTAAAGATGTTGGAAAACTTACCCTATATGATTTGAAACAAAGCACACAAATAAATTATCCGGTCGAGTATATTTCATAGTTGAAAAGAGAGACATAATTATGTTATCCACTTGAGTATATTTCATAGTTAATCAGTTTGATGAAAGAGAATAAATTACAACCGAAAGAATAAAATACAGAAGTGAAATTTGTCCAAACGATGAGAAGAATCGACAATTCTGGATAAAAGAAGAAGGCACATGGGCCAGCCAATCCTCACTTCTTTACTTTGTAATTCTCTATGCTTGGATTGTTTTCTGTTTTTTTTTATTCCTTTTGTCTGATTCTACAATTTATTTATTTTAATAAATAATCAAACGGCCCATATCGAATCCGACATTATGAAAACGGAGGCACAAGAATATATATTCTTTTCCCTACAATCACTTATTTATATGCGTACTGGGCAATGAATAAATGAAAGCCACGCTTTGTGCAATGTGCAGTGTAAAGGCAATCAAATCATGGATATATTAATATTCGATTATGAAAAAACCAGGAAAGAAATAAGCTAAATTAAGCAAAAGCAAAGCCTATACAGTGACCATAAGTGAATCCTTCCCTTTGTTATATATTGCAGCGGAGGAAGGAAACGGCGGCGCTTTGCTTCGGGGATGACGGTGATCAGAGAGAAAGGGGATGAGGGAGTAGAAGGCGGCGGTTCCACGGTGTTGGTGGGTGTCAAACTTGACGCTGACAGCAAGGAATTGCTGACATGGGCGCTTGTCAAGGTGGCTCAGCCCGGTGATCAGGTCATTGCCCTTCACATCCTTGATTCTGCAACTGGTATTATTCCTTCTTACTTTTTTCCTTTTAGTTTAATTTCCATATTTTTTCTTTTTAATGGCGTTATTTTCTTGGTGAAATGTACATTTATACTTCCGCCAGAGAGTCCGGGGTCGGTTCTGTCTCTTGTGAAGCAATTTGATTATACGCTAGCGGTTTACGAAGGCTTCTGCAACCTAAAACAGGTAAGTTTACGGTTTTTTTTACAAGTTTTTTGATTTTGAATTTTGTAGAAATTCAGTGTTGAAAATTGTTGTGGGAAATCATTTTAGGTGGATTTGAAGCTAAAAGTGTGTAGAGGGTCATCGCCAAAGAAGATTCTGGTAAGGGAAGCCAAGTCTTTCGAAGCAGCTAAGCTAGTTCTGGGAACTACCAAAACCAAGAACCCGATACAGTCGCCTACCTCCGTTGCGAAATTTTGCGCCAAAAAGTTACCCAAATGTTTCTCTGTTTATGCTGTTCAGAATGGCAAAATCTTGTTCCAAAGGGAAGCAATTCAGACAATCGTGAACCGGTCACAAGGTAGTGATATTTTTCCCAGTTCTAGTTTTAGTTCTAATTATTAGAAAATTGGCGTTTCTCATTCTGATTTCTGCTTATTGATTTATATATTTGTTCTTTGCTACATTGTTTGAACAGACAATGGTTCACAGGATAAGAGCATTGTCCGTTTAGTGTCCTTGCCGAAGAGTATAAGAGCTGATAATGGCAATTCGAAATCTGGTTTGTTTTCGAGGCATAAAACGTTAAAGAAGAATTGTGAAGCCAGTGCTTCAGCAGAAAATTCTAACTTCCAATCTCCGGAAGAGGTATCCGGAAATGGCAGTGTGGATAATAGGCTAGATTTGGTACAGTTTCAATCGAGTGAGGATAACGTTGTTCTGGTTAGAAAGTTGCCTGGTTGGTCGCTTCTCCGTTGGGTGTTTTTACCCAAGCGGCATCACTCGGAGAATTCTTCTGCAAAGAAATCTGTGGACCAATGGGTGTTAAAATCACCAAGCCAGCATTCCTCAGCTGTTGTTTATCCTGATCTACGGCAGAAAAATAATCATTCTTCTGATTTGGACGGAGAAACTGGTGCAATTGTGCCAGTTGGCTGTGAGGCTATTTGTCCTCTGTCTCCTAGTGATTTTCCGAAAGAGCTACAAAGTTTACTTGAGAAATCCTCTTCTTCATATAGATTGTTTAGTTATGAAGAGCTTTTGGAAGCCACCTCTAGCTTCATGCCAGGTTTATTCTTCATTAGCAGTTCATGTAAAAATATTGTGTTTGGCTTACTTTGGATGTTCATGTCAATGATTCTTATTTTCTGATTTTGCAGAGAATCTGGTAGGTAGAGGTGGTAGCAGTCATGTTTACAGAGGGTGCCTTCCCGATGGCAAGGAACTGGCAGTGAAAATCGTTAAACCAACTGGGAATGCAATCAAAGAGTTTGTTCAGGAAATTGAGATCATTACGAGTTTAAACCATAAAAGTCTCATTTCCTTATTTGGGTTCTGCTTTGAGGAAAACAAGTTACTTTTGGTTTATGATTTCCTCTCCAGGGGAAGTCTAGAAGAGAACCTATATGGTAAGGACTTTATCCAATTTACTACCTTTTACTTGTCGAATAGAATCTTTTCCTTCCTGGGATCAGTTGTAGTTTACAGTTTTTGATTTACTATATTTTTGAACCTGACTGGCTTCTCTTGTTACAAGGCAATAGGAAGGATAACAACGCATTTGGCTGGCAGGAGAGATATAAGGTGGCGGTGGGCTTAGCTGAGGCGCTTGATTATTTGCATAACGGTTGTGAACAACTTGTGATCCACAGAGATGTGAAATCTTCCAACATTCTTTTGTCCGATGATTTTGAGCCCCAGGTAGCACGTTGAAACAAACCAGTTCTAAAGTTATCTTTTGGTTGTAAGCTTTCTGAACTCATTACTAGGTGTTCTGCTTCTTCAGCTGTCAGATTTTGGACTTGCTAGTCGGGTCTCAAGTTCTGCATCTCATACGACTAGCATGGATGTTGCCGGAACCTTTGGGTATGTAATCTGCTCCGAGTATTTCCTGTTTATTACTCGCTTTAGATATACTTGGTAATACTTGTCTGTGACAGTTACTTTGCTCCTGAATACCTCATGCACGGCAAAATGAGTGATAAAATTGATGTCTACGCATTTGGCATCGTCCTCCTAGAGCTCCTCTCTGGTAAAAAGCCCATTGACGATAACTGTCCAAAAGGTCAGGAGAGCCTTGTTATTTGGGTGAGTTCATCATACCTAAGCCTTTGTATCAGGAGAATGGTTCTGCACATCTTCAACATAATTTAGAGCAGATAAACAATGTTTATATAGTTCAGGAAAACAAGTATATTTGAGTAGATCGTTCTGTAAATTCATTTCGTTTCTCCCTTATTCATAGTGTCAAAAGTGCAGTGCTACTTCAATCCAGTTATTTTCTTAGTTAATTTTTTAACATTTGATAATGCTCTGATGTTAACATCCAGGCAAAGCCAATTTTAAAGGACAGCAATTTCTCTCAGTTGCTAGATCCACAGCTCGGTAGTAGCTACGAATTTCATCAGATAGAAAGAATGATTTTAGCTGCTACCCTGTGCATTCGACGTGCGCCACTAATAAGGCCTCAAATTAGCCTTGTAAGCTCACTCTCAATCGACCTTTTTTTCCCTTACGCTCACTTTGTCGTTATGTTTTTATGGATCTCGGCATCTTTTTTCGACCACAGATCCTGAAGCTCCTACAGGGTGACCAGGAAGTAACAAATTGGGCACAGAAACAAGTTAGAGAATCAGAAGAAGTTGACACCGCAGACGAGGATTTATATCCTACTAACATGGAATCCCATATTAACCTTGCATTACTACACTTGGAAGACGGTTCGCTTTCTGCAAGCAGCAACGAACAAAGTTTCCAAATAGAGGATTACTTGCAAAAAAGATGGAGCCGCTCATTGAGCTTCGCCTAGCCATCTCAATGCAGGTGTGTGTCGTTTATCGTTTATGTGAACTTTTTTCTTTCTGCTAGTTATTAGATCAGGTCTTGGAAGAGAGGTGGTTTAAAAGAGCTTCCCCACCTTGACTTAGGTTGTATTTCTAGCTCATGATTCCCAATTTTATATATGGGCTAGTTTTCAGGGAAATACGTAGTGAGGTGTTTGTATACTCAAAACATGCATGCACACATTATTGTAAATAAATCATTCCTTCACGATTGTAATGTATGTTGTTAACCTTCACTTTGTTCCATGTTTAATTCTGTTTGGTCTTCAATTAAGAAAACCAATACTATACGCACTTCTTTCCAACACATGATAATTGAAATAAATTAATAAATGCATACCCAAAGCAACCTATGCTTGTGGAAAACGAAATGTGCAACTGTGAAATTAAATCTAGCATTTATATTGCCATTTCCCTTTTCTTTTGTTCATTTGTTGACTCTATTAAATACAGAAGTACACAACATAATTTCGAATTTCATTTTAATATTTGATTAAATAAATATTTTAGTTTTTATTTTAGTGCACAACATAATTTCAAATATCATTTTAATACTTGATTAAATAAATATTTTAGTTTTTATTTTCTAAAGTACTTTACCCTTTAATGTTCTTATTTTAAGTTAAAGTAACTTTGATTAGCTAAAAATCATTAGTAGATTAACGATCAATTGTTATCGTTAACATAAAATGTTATATGTATCCAAAATATTGACGTGACACAGTCATATATATAAATGATGATATGATATATGTCATGTGTTTGAAGCAATGACATTGCATACTATGTCAATAAAAATATTAGGAAACTAATATTATTTTATTTTTGTCGCGACCATATTTCGGTTGGACTTGGAATTGGGTTTCGACTTAGGAAAAATGATTTGGAGTCGTCACCGACCATTTTAAAACGAATTTAGGTGGGTCGGACACCATCTTACCTGATCTGCGTTGTACCAGAAACGTGTCAGGTTCGGGAGTCAGTTACGATCAAGGAAGAATTAACACCCTTGAACCACCATTTCGATATCAATTAATTTGTCGGATGTCTTTAATTACGAAAAGTAAGAATTTAAATTTAAAAATTCGATTCGAATTACTTACCTTTGATCAGTTGAAATTACTCCCTAAAAAATTAAAAAGATTAGATTGAAAAATAAATACTAAATAAATCCGATTAGATTAGATGATGACACATTACGAAAAAGATGAGAAATTAAAGAAGTATAAATGAATGATCGACTTGATTTTAGATCTTCCTTGGGTCAAGATTTGTGAGTGATTATAATTTGAGAATGAGAATCATGTTTGAGTTTTTTTATTATCTAATTGATTTTTTATGGTAAGAGAATGGTCCACATTCACCGCATTATTATTGATGTACGAGTGAGATGATGGTTAATGGTGATTTATAAGAATAGGAAAGAATGTGATTAAATAATCTATTTGTGGTTCTACGAGTGATAAAATGGTTAATAGTTTTATAAGTTGAGAGATAATGTGATTAAACAAATTATTTGTGGTTTATTCCTTTTGATTTGGGTGAAAAGTTGCTGATTGAATATGTTCCAAAAGCATCCTCCAAATTACTGCTAAGAAAATGAAGTAAAAAATCTCAGTCACCCTTAATTATATTGAAATAATATGATTACATTCAGAATTATTCAAATTATAATGGTTTGTTAGGAGGATGGTGGAGATCAAATTGTAAAAATCAAAGAAAAAATTATAAATTTTATGTTTAACCAAAAGATTATTTAAGAGGATTTAATTTAAATTATTATTTTTGAGAAGGATCAAACATTTAATCAAAGAGACCGATGAGAATTATCTGTTCATTCAATCAAATCATTTAAGATTTGATTGTTTATTGCTATGAACATGAGTTTAGTTTGGGATCCAGATTTTAGTGAACAAGCTCTGCAATTTCCATATAATCCAGAATTATTAATTATTAAATGTAACAGCTTAGCCAAACACTTTTTTCTTTTCAAATTTAGAAATTATGATCAAAATGAACTAAATCTTCAACTTCAACCATAAATTAAGAAAGCTGCAAGAGCAAAGTAAAAGATAAAAAGCTAACCTGGATTCGCAATCCTGAATAGAACGAGAGGAAAAGCTTTAACACCCCGCGATGAACCTTGATTGGCTCCTCCGATTGGCTATGCCGATAGAGAGGAGCGCAAAGGCCACCGTCGGCGGCGTCCAACGGCAGCAGATTTCTGCAGCTCTGTTCTAAACCGGAATCTACTTGCCTGCCGGAGAACGCAACGTAGGCGACGGTTCCGATCAGTTGGACGAGGTAAGAGTTTGGGAACCTTGTGTTGGCGATACTGCAATCCTTCCATGCCTCCTCCAATAATGGCGTGGAGGCCAGAAACGTTGCCAGCATTTCGCTCGATTCGAAATTAGTGTGGCTTCAATTAATTTCAAACCGGAAGGTTAGAAAATAGAAAGAATAAAGAATTTTTTTAACTTGGAAATTAGAAATTGAAGCAAAGAGAGTGGCTTCACACACGATTTACTTACCATGAAGTTCCGGTTGGGAGTTGAAGGTCTTGCTTTTCCTTACTGGTATTTTTATTTGTCACATATATATACATATTGAAAATGAAAGTGTGAACATGATAATGATAAATAATCGTTATTATTATCACTATTATTATATTAATTATTAAAAATCTGATTGAGTTTGATATTATAAATTAATTCGATTAAAGATTATAAATATTTATCTAATTTAAATTATAAAAAACATTATTGTGGGATTTTTTAATAAATTTTTAAATAAAAAATTACTTCAAATTTCAACATATGATAAAAACTTTCACATATAAATATTTTATGGGTACAAATGGTTTTTTATTAATCCGGGATAAGTATAAATAGTGTATGTTCAAAGATAACTCTCAATTATTTTACATTGATCGCCCGTAAACCCTGGCATTATCGATACTCAAACCCAAAACCTCAAGAAATAACAATAATTTCTTTATCACAAATCTCACAAGTTTGTGCTATGGGCACAAACGTTAAGCGTGGTAAATTTGGCGATACCGCTAACAATTTGATATTATTATACCCTATGTACCTTTACTTAGCTTTAACACCCTCTCTTTAACTCTCATCTGTATCGATTTTTTGGTTAGTTGGGGTCTGAATCAGCAAAATTTATTGCCGCGACCTTAAGACCAAAAATTGAGACATGTGCATGAAATACGTAACTTGCATTGCACGGCCACTGAGTTTGGATATCACTTATGGACGAATAAAACTCGATTCGATTAAAAATTTTATTTTTTAATTTTATTTGATTAATTTTTTTACTCAAGTTATTTGAGTTGTAGTTTCATAAATTTAACTCAACTCAAAAAAAGTTTAAATTCGAATCAAGTTATAAAATAGAAGTTGAATATTAACTCGAATAACGCAAGGTTTTTAGTTAATTATAGGGGTGTTCAAACGGTTAATTTGGTTACCGACCGAACCGAATTAACCATAATCGAACTTTTTTTCTTTAATCGAACCAAAATTTATTTGAAATTATTAACTAAAACAAATTTCGGTTAATTCGATCAATTTTTGAATTAATCGAATTTTTTAAAAAATTTCTAATTTATGTAACAATTGAATATTTTTTAATTCAAAAAACCAATTTACAATTATAATATCTAATTAAAAAATTAAAAAATAGTCATTTAGTATTGTGTTTTTTTAATTAACTAATATTGACTTAAGTTTAAAAGTTACTAGATCTTAAATTATCAATTGAGTTTTAAATGGTTTGGGTTGTGCCTATATAATATATTTAAAATTTAATTTTGGCTAATTCGGTTTCGAACCGAATTAACCGTTAACTGAATTCTAAAAAAATTAGCGGCCGACCGAATTAATCGAACTAATCCGGTTCGGTCGGTTAATTCAGTTAAAGCCAAAAAATGAACACCCCTAGTTAATTAGTGAATTAATTTTCAAGTTTGAGTCAAGTCCCTCAATTTTGTATGATATATTTATATCACATAAGAAAAAAATAGGAAAAAATATGTGTATTATATATGGTTAAAGAAATACATTTAAATTTGAATCAAATAGTATCATTATATTATAATTTTTTTTTAAAATTAAATTTAAACAAAAACTCGACTCAACTCAAAAAATATTTTAAATCAAATTTAAATTATAAAATATGACTTGCCAATTTAAATAATTCAAAATATTTTAGCTCGACTCAAGCACATAGAACGCTGACACTAACTTCCCAAGAGAACGTTTTGCAAGTTTTGAGTTCCCAATTGCAAGATAATTATTCTTTAAAAATTTTAAATTCTAATATAATTCAAGTTTTTTTATTTTATATTGATAATTTATTTTCAACTCCTAAAATTTTATAAATTCACTATCCGACATAAAATCATGTGTCCATCCTTAAACCTTATGTCAATGCAATCATTAAATAAAATTCAACCACAACTCCTTTGTCTTTCTTTTATTTTTGAATCGTTTAGAGTAACTATACAATAGTATTTATTCGTAATTTTTCTCAACTATTAATAATACAAACACTCTCTATACACATAACCACTCAAACTCATGACTTTAAGACAAAACAACATTCTCTCTAATTACTTGATGTCTTCAAATTCTGTGTTTGTAATTAGACTAGTGAGAAGGATTTAGGTTGTGTTCATCGTAATTATGAAAGCCTTTGCAATATTAGAATAGAAGCATCATCATTCTCTCAACGTGCATGTGAAAAGCCATTGAATTCCAAACACCTAGTCCATGTGCAAGAACTGGTTCAAGGAGTAAGGTTCCGTCGTTTAATGAAGCCACGCTGTAATTGATATTCGTGGAAGTAGTCAAACGAGAACTGGTTAAGGAGCAAGGTCAACATCCTTCCTTCCTTTTTCAAATTTTGCTATGGCCAGAAGAGACGCTCTAGATCATAACGTTGACGTATGATACTGCTGTCAAGTAATAATCAAGCAAAACTAAATCTCAGAATAAGTAATCGTGGCCACTTCAAATATGGATTAAATTAAATCCGATTTACATCAAAAATCAAAATATTTTTAAACCCGTTAAGTAATTTTAATAATAAAAAATCATAAAAAAGATTTAGACCTCCTTAGA